ATTTATTTTCTTCTGTTCCTTTCATAGCTTCATTTTCACATAATATTGTTTTAAGAATTTTTTTTATTAAGAGCCTACTTTTTCTTTAATACTTCCAGACAGACTAAACATCCAGCCATAATCTCAGCCACTCACTTACCAATACCTTCTAAACTAGATGTATAAGCAGCAGAAGAGGGAGGAAAAATATGCACAGTAGATCCTGGTGCTTCTCCATATTCTTTGAGTCAGTAGCACTGCTTTGTGGTGCTAGCCACAAAGCCGCTCTAGCCAGAGTGAACCAAAGCAGCTCTATATGCCCACTTATCCTAAACTAAATTAATTTCTATCCAAATCTAAGTCCACGTCTTCTTTTTAATGGTAGTAAAATATATATAACAAAAGTTACTATTTTTAACTATACAGTTCGACGGCATTAAGTACACTTATGTTGCTGTACATCCATTACTACCGTCCATCTCCAAAACTTTTTCATCTTCTCCAACAGAAACTCTGTACACATTAAACACTAAGTCCTCATTTCTCCCTCCCATACACCCTAGAAATCACCACTCCACTTTTTGTCTCTATGAATTTGACTTTCCATAGAAGTGGAATCATGCAACGTTTGTCCTTTTGTGACTGGCTTATTTCACTTAGCATATATCCAAGATTCATCAGTGTGGAATATGTCAGAACTTTCTTTTTAAGGCTCAATAATATTCCACTGTGTGTATATATATATATATATATATATACACACACACACCATACTAAGTTTATCCATTCATCTGCTTATGGACACTTGGGTTATTTCCACCTTTTGGCTATTACAGCTATTCATTCCTTCTTGTTCTACCCTTCACCATACTCTACCCAGAATGTTCTTTCATATATTTGAAAATTGTTATAAATTCAATCCTCAGCCTTCATTTTTCAATACCCATAATTTAGTTGCTTTTGCTAACTTAAATAACTTCCATTGTTTTTAATTATAAAATACAAACTCAGTGAAAAATTTTAAAAATCAAAACTACATAGAAAAAAAATCAAACTGTTATCTCATTACCAAGATTTAAACACTGTTATTATTTTCACATTATATCTTCATATAATTGAACTAATATCATAAATTATTTGCTTTGCTTTTGATTTTTATTTCATCTTTTTTAATTGGCAATATTTATACATGATAATGTGAAAAGGTACAAAGGGTATACAGTGAAAAAAGTGAGTCTCCTTCCCATGAATTCCATTTCCAAAAGTAACAACTTGACCAGTTCTTATATATCTTTCCTGAGCTGGCCAAGGAATGGCTATGTAATTTTGAATCCTGCTTTTTTCAATTATCATTTAACTTTGGGCATTTTCTCACATCATCAAAATTCCATGTAAACATTTTACTGGCTACATAATATATCAGCCTATGGAAGCACTATCCAGTTTACTGAACCATTCCCCTAAATTTAAACCTTGGCAATGTTTACAAATTTTCCATTATAATGAACATCTGAAGATTTATACATTGATCTTCTATATTTCTGATTATTTCTTTGGGATAGAGTACTATAAGTGAACATGACAACTTACATTCATGTTTAAGAAAATATTCTCACCACAAAGGAAAAATGTATAGTTACCTTTTTCTTTTTTAGTCCTAGTATCAGTCAAACAGGCTTTGGAGCTTCCCAGAGCAACCAGCCACCTCTGTCTTTCAGCTGCATTTACTGCCTTCATATAGAAATGCTGCTCTCCTGGAATGATTAATTCCATTCTTGTGTTGTCTGCTGAATGGACTATAATGATAAACAAAGGGGAAATACAGTAATGAACTTAAATAATTTAGGGAGAATCAAATCATCACTTACACAGTATTAGATGTTTCAGACCTGAAACAACAAACCATGACTCAAGAGGCAGACAGTGCCACTCCCTAAGGAGCTATCCAGTGGCACCCTCCAAGCTATCATTCTTACATATACCCAGGCTGGCAGTGGTGTCAAAGTGACGGCAGAATATGAAAAAGAAAAGAGCAATGAATTAACAACTGAAAAGTGAGAGCTAAGAACTGACTCCCTTGGGGCCACTGTACCACCTTAAGTATATGTGCACTGTCACACTACACATTTTTCACTCATGTCTTTGAAAGCAGTCTGTGTTTTGGTACCCACCCTCAAGCCTAGGATAGTGCCTGGCATAGAGATAAAGTACAATAAACAGTAACCAAGGTCACCTTCCATTAAGATAGTAGCCTTCAACTAATAAGCATATCAAAATCACTTGCATGAGTGTTTTAACATCTCTCCCTCAACACCCTCCTTTTCCTCTTCTACACAGCCCCCTACCCTGGATCTCTGACAAAAGAGAGTTAATGAAGAATTATGCTGAGCCAATCCTAAATCTCTGCAGCAAGACTAAATTTGTGTTATACTGTCATTAATCAACAAGTATTTACTCTGCTCAGAGCAGTGCTGGTAGAGGCAAAGATAGGAGAGGAGGAAAAAGATGTCTTTGCTCTAACAGAAGGAACAATTTTACATTCAAACACCTAAATGTTGAACTCTTTGGTACAGAGACTTCATGTGTAATTATAATGAAAGGTAAGAAGAGGCAAGAAATTTTAAAAGTCTTTAAGAAGGATTTGAGGACAGCAGGATTTAATTACGAGGAAAATGGCAAAGAAAAGGCCTAGATGAGGAACTAAATACAACATGTACTGAGGCGGCCAGAAGACAGGCCTAAATAGAGCCTTGTGTGGGATTACAAAGTAATGATATTCATGAGTGGACAAGCTGAGTGGAGCCAAATTATGAGGGGCCCAGAAAGTCTGGCAGAAGCTCTAATTTAGATGATTAATTACTGAAAATGTTGATCAGATGCTGTGTATTATGGCAAATAAGTGCCACAAAAGTTTTGCTATCTTATTATTCTACTTATATAGACCATTCTTGGATGTAAACAGTGAAATACATAAACATGCAACAATCAATGACGGGTGCAAAAAATTTTGTCTAGGACTACTGAACTACTGAAATCCCAAAGTTCCCAGAGTAACTCTTTTTGCTACTTGCTAATACTAATGAAAGCACCAGTAGCTACCTTAAAAGAAAATAATGCTCTAATTTCCAAAGATGTTGCTACAAGATGAAACTATAGTAAGATTTTAGTTCCATTTTTAAATATATCAGAATTTATGGGTCAGTCAAGGGTTCTCCCCTCCAAAGTAGTAACCTGAGAAGGTAACAAATTTAAGAACAATGCTCCCAAAACATCAAGTTGCTAGGAAAAAATGGACAAAATCTCTGTAAAACTGTAAAACATTACTGAAAGAAATTAAAGACCTAATTAAATACAGGAATATACAGCTTAATGGATCAGAAGACTTCTCAAGAACATAATTCTCCCCCAAAATGATATACAGACTCAATTCCAATGAAAATTCCAGCAGATATTTGTAGAAATTTATAAGCAGATTCTAAAACATATAAAAAAAATGCAAAAGGCCAATAACAGCCAAGACAATGCTTAAAAAGCACAACGTGAGAAGACTTAGGCTATCAGATACTAAGAAGTATAAAGTTAAAGAAATCAAGATAGTGTGATACTGGCACAAGGATAGAAAAACAGGCCCACGGAACAAAAGACAGTACAGAAAAAGACCTACACACACACAGTCACTTGCTTTTTGACAATGATGTCCTTATGATGTAGTTGGTGAAAGGTTGTTCTTTTCAATACATGGTGCTCAGTCAATTAGATACTCATGTGGAAAAAAATGAATCTTGACCCCTACCTGACACCACATACAAAAATAAATTTTACGTCTATCACAGGCTAAAACAGACCTAAGTATAAAAGGTAAAACAATAAGCCTTCAAGAAACTTCTTATATGGAACACAAAAAGTTCTAATGAAAAAAAATTTTTGACATTGGATTTTATTAAAATCAAAAACTTCTGTTCATCAAAAGATATCACTAACAGAATGAAAATGCAAACTACAAATCAGAAGAAGTATTTGCAGGACAAAAATTTTTTCAGACTGTATAAAGAATTTCTACGAATCAATATGAAAGATAGCCCAATTTAGAAACGGGGCCAAAGGCTTGAAAAGGGACTTCAAAAGAAAAGGATGTTCAAATGGCTAATTAACATCTGAAAAAATACTCAACACCATTAGTTACTGAAAAAAATACAAGTTAAAACCACCATGAAACAGCACAATGTACTCTAGAAGTACTCGAAATCTTAAAACTGCTCATGCCAAGTTTTGGCAAGGATGAAAAGCAACTGGAACTGTCATACTCTGCAAGTTGAAAAATAAATTGGTACAATCCTTTGGTAAACAGTTTGTCACTATCTCTGACAAGGAGTCTCTCCTTGATCAAACCTGTCAGGCTCCTCTGAGCCCTCTGTTAGACTAGGCCCCACCTTGGGCCTCTGTCTCTGTCCTAGCAGAGTTTAATTTTAGCAAACATCCTGCTAAGTCAATTGAGCTCCAATTCCCTACCCTCAATATCTGATCACCCTCCAAATCGAACCAAATTCCTCTTCCCGCCACCCTCCAGGTAATATCTGATCACCTTGACCTGCCTTCATACGAATCCCGTTAGGTCTGTTTAACCAGAACCCCCTTTTATCTCTTCAATTTCCTCTTAGTAATTTTCCATCCACTGATTCTCCCACCCTGCCCTCCGCCACTCTGCTCCTTGGCTATAAATTCCCACTTTTCCTCGTTGTACTCAGAGTGGAGCCCAATTTCTCGCCCCTACTGCAAAACCCTATTGCAGTAGCTCCTATACCTATCCGGATAGACCTGAATAAAGTCTGCCTTACTGGGTTTTTGAAAAAACATTTTTATTGAAGTATAGTTGATTTAAAATATCGTATTAGTTTCAGGTGTAAAAAACATAATGATTTAAAAATCTTACAGATTATACTCCATTTACAGTCATTATAAAACACTGGCTATATTCCCTGTGCTGTACAATATACCCTTATAGCTTATTTATTTTATACCTAGTAGTTTGTATCTCTTAAGCCTCTACCCATATCTTGCCCCTCCCCCTTCCCTCTCCTCACTGGTAACCACTGGTTTGTTCTCTCGATCTGTGAGTCTGTTTCTTTGTGCCTCACTGTTTTAGCAAACATCAAGAGTAATCTTTTATTATCTGTTAAAGCTGAATGTATGAATATTCAATGCCTCAGCAATTCCACTCCAGTTCTACATCTATACTGAACAGAAACACATATACATCAAAATAAACATTTAAGAACGTTTCTGGCAGCTTTACTTACTATATTCCCCAAATGTGAAAAACAAACACCCATCAATACTAGAATGGATAGCCAAACTGTGGGACATTCATACAATGAAAATATTACACATTAATACGAATGGTGAAGTGTTACACAGAATAACATAGACGAATTTCACAAACACAGTGTCGAGTTAAAGAAGCCAAACACAAAAGAAAATACTGATTTACTCCATTTATAAAATGTTCAAAAGCAGGAAATACTTACCTATGGTGATAAAAGTCAGGTTAATGTAAACTTTTAGAGGGATTAGTGGCTGAGGGGACAAGATTATTATCCCAGCTGATAATATTCTAATTCTTGATCTAGGTGGTGATTCTACAAGTGTGTTCATTTTGTAAACATTCTTAAGGCTCAATATTGAAGATTTATGCCCATTTCTGATTCTTACTCTTTAATTAAATGATTAAACAAATAACAATAACAAAAATGCTGCTGTGGCTTGAAAAAGTTCTAGAGTTGCCTTAGAATTCTGCCACTAAGTCTTTCAAATATCCTCAAGGTTGGCAAATCTCTGAACTTAGAATGTAATTTGATTTGATGCTCATCAAATCTCATTTGGAATCAAATCCAAGGAATAAAATGAGACAAAACCATCATTTTAAAAAATAAAAATTAAAAACTCATGCTTTGAATGTGCTTTTCTTGTATGAGTTATAAAAATAAAACAACAAAATTACACCCCACATAGTTCAGGGAACATGCAAGTAACACACCAGGCTGAAGTGCTTCTGTATCTTATATGGCCATGACCCCTTGCAGGGTTTAACACTCTCTCCTCTAATGCTTTAATCTTTCTTTCAGTTCTCTTTGAAGAATTCAGTACTTTTCATTATCATTTTGTCTGATCTCTCCCTATCTACTTCCACCCCACACATACCTACCACGCACACAAATGAATCAATGGTCCGTGAAACCTTCCTTCATGAAGATCACAGCATGACTTAGAGCTTTATCTCTTCCCCTTTAAAACAGCACAGTATGGAAAAGGAGTAGGGAGGGTAACTTTACAGCAGAGAAACCTGACAGACACTACCTCAGCCAGGCGGTCAAGGTTAACATCAAGAGTGATACGGCTGATCTCTCAGCTCCTCACTTCCAAAATGACCAAGAAAAGAAGGAGCAATGGTCGTATCAACAAGGGTCCGGCCTCTTGCAGCCTATTCACTGCACCAGCTGTGCCTGAGGACACCATTAGGGCCATTAGGAAACATAGAAGAGGCTGCAGCTATCAGGGACATTTCTGAAGTGACCATCTTCAATGCCTATATGTTTCCCAAGCTGTACTTACATTGAAACTACATTACTAAGTGAGTTGTGCCAGTCACAACAAGATAGTCAGGAATCATGAAGTCTGGATGGACCAAACACCTCCCCATCCCAATTTAGACCTGTGGATGCTGCCCCACAACTTCTACCAAAGCCCATATAATGAGCTAAGTCCTTAAAGACTGAAGAAAAATTGTCCTCTGGGGAAAAAAAAAATTTTAAATGGAAATTATACTTTGAAAAAAAAAACGTGATAAGTCATGTTGACAGCATGTACTCCTGATAATGATAAGATGAGAATGGCACTTTACCTCTGTGATCTTCTCCCCAAAACCCAAAGCACCAGTCTAATTGTGAGGAAAACATCTGACAAATTCCATGGAGGGGCTTCCTATAATATTCCTGACCAGTACTCCTGAAAAGTCTCAAGATTACCAAAAAAAAAAAAAAAAAAAAAAGAGAGGAAGAAGAAAAGGAAAGGAAAACATCTCCATCACCCAGAAGAGCTTATCTCTAATTCAGCAAAGAACCAGAGTTTACCACTCTATCTTCACACTTCATCAAAATCCTACCGGGCTGGTCTCATGACCTTCAGAGTTCAGCTTCCAATCTTTACAATACTTTTCTACTAGAATGAAAGAAGACACTGGTAGACTCAGCATGGACACTAAAGTTGCGTCCATAAAAAACTTTTCAAGTTCAAATCAGAAGACCAGCACTAGTACTTTGAATTTCAAAGTACTTTGAATTTCAATTCAAAGTGTATTTATAGAGGTAGAAATATCAAAAACTGTGTTTAACAATGCCAAGTGCCACTCCTGAATGCTAAGGAAATAAATGGCAGCAGAAGATCCCTACCTGGTTAGAAGCGCTCTTCTCCTCTTTTTTGGAGTATGCTGAAGAACCACTTACTTACCTAATTTCAAATTCATCTAACTCCATATATTTACTTACCTTTAATTTCACAAACTGCCATCTTTATACTTCCTTTGCTCCCTTTGCAAACATCATCTTGTGAATCATAGTAGGACAGGATTCCATTATCTAAAACAAACCAACGCGGCTGCCAACCTACAAAGATCATAAATAACAAAAGATCAATGTATAATTATTTTTATCACATAGAAAACTATGATTTCAAAATTTACCATCCATGTCATTTCTTGGCTCCAAAACAACAATTTGATAATGAAATTTTTAATTGCCAAGACCTGCCCAAAATATTCTTGCATCAATCTCTATTTTGTCGGGAGAGATTTCTGGAGAAACCTCTAGATCAGCATAACTACAGGGAATAACACCTTTATTGTGGCTCACAATCTTGTCATTAACAACCCATAAGACCCATCTTTAAAAACAGCCCCACACAGAGTACACCACAACTGCCCCCTTTTTTCTAAGGGAAATAGCGTTGGGTTATGATGCAATGGGAAAAGCAAAGGAAGACACGGATTCTAGCTCCAGTTCTATTATTCTTTAGTTGAATAACCTGGGACAAATCTTTTCATCTCAATAAATATCAAAAATTCCCAATCTCCAAAATGAGTGGACTCAACAAGAAGACCTCTCAGGTGCCACTTAGCCCTCTAATTCTTAATTCTGCAAGGTGACCTCCCCCCTCCTATAAAATACTTTGCCTAAGCCACCTCCCTTGCACACAGTGAGTGCTGAATGCACTCCAGTCTCTCACACAGAAGTTGCATACCCTGTGGTGAGAGCATGGATTCCCACCACTGCTCTCTCCTTACCCTGCTGTTGCACAGCTCAAGAAGAAATGCTAGAATGCTAGTGCAATCATTCATTTAACATTTATTCAGTGACTACAGCACACAACTATCACAGACTTGGCTCGAATGCAAAGCTGAGGGCTTTCCTTGAAGCTCAACTCCCACTCTTACAAACCAAACTCATTGTTCCCTGAAATCTTATCAAGTATGCTATTAATTTACAACAGTTCACTGATTAATAACATGGTGACCATGCTGGAGGCACTGTGACTGTCCTCGTTCTTTCTGTGACTATTAAATCACCATTCAGCCTGGTCACTTTAGACACTGCCCGCTGTATGATTAGTCAGTTCAGTTTCTCAGGGGCCAAAGAGTACCAAGACAGTGACAGATAGGGGAATCATCCTTACATCTTGATACAGATCCAGGATTTACCTCCCCAAGAGGCTTTACTGGTAACACTTCTGAAATGACAATGCTGAGTCATCATAAAAAGGTCAAATTTCACAGCAGGGAATGTCATAATACAGTTCAGAGGGATGGATATTCGAAAACAAGTTTCAGATGCTTGGAAAATTCTTTTCATGAAACACTATTCTCCCTAACAAGGCCTAGCAAATTAGAAGGTAAGTTCTTTTGGTACATGAACTCTATCTTGTTCATCACTGCATACCCTGCACCGGGAATGGCGCCTGGCACATAACAGGTCCTTTAAAAAAAAATGTACGTCTCAAGTAACTGAATGAGTGAATGAGTAAATACCAGAAGACTGAGATACTGCCCGTTATGCATGAGTACAGACATGCAGTATCCTCATGAGAGTATACTGTATTGGGGTGCATAAAATGATGAAAACAGTATCTTTCCAAACATTAATTCACCTTGGCAAACAAATTATAAGCAAGGTGCAGAGAAAATACCCTCCTCTGCCCCAGGTCTAGTGTCTATAAGACAAATTATGATTTTGTAAACCTGCACTATTTTGATTCATTATCTCTTTAAAACAAATATTGAGCAAAATGATTCACTTAGAATTTGCACCAACTTGAAAGGGGACCCTAGTAAAATACATTCGTCTAATTAAGACTGTTAATTACCTCCACACACCTTTTTGAAGAAGTATTTAATAAAGCAATCTCTAATTGACTGACATATATATATATGAGGGCTATGTCTTTGAGAAAGAATCATAGCTATTTCCTTTTTCATTATCTTTTCAAAAAACACATTCTTTTTATCTCAAATTACCAAATGTTACTGAAATTCTTGTTCTCCACAAAGGATTCTCAAAAAACACTGTCATCAAACTGGAAGGTTCCTTAAAGATCACTTAGTATAAAGAGTTGCTCATCCTTCTGACCTAAGATGAACCAAAGGTAATAAGCAGCATGCCACTGGGCCAAATTTAAATGTTAAAAATGGAATTCTTCCAAACAAAAGATTTCATGTCATCAAGTTCCTACAATGCCTACTAGCAGTTAACTGAAATGCTCTACAAAAATTAAAACCTTAAGCACACATGGTTAAAAGCTCGACCAGTTGGTGCCCAGTGATAGGAGATAAGAAAGAGGGTCACTGAGAGCACATTTCGCTCCAGGAATAAATCATGACTCATCTTAGTAATCACCCATTCCTCTGGTCTATGCATAAGTGGTTCCTCATATGCCCTCCCAAGGCTTGTGCTTATGAATGTAGCAATGAGATGCTTGCACCTCAAAGCAGAGTAACTACTGTCTTAAAGTTAAACTAAACAGTGTAACTGTTCTCACAACTGCCCATGTGAAAATGCCTAACAAAAAATATATGCCTCATTTTTAAAAAGTTTCCCAGAGCAGGGGCTGGGAAGGGATAAACTGGGAGTTGTAGATTTGCAGATACTAACTAATATACATAAAATAGATAAACAAGTTTATACTGTATAGCACAGGGAACTATATTCAACATCTTGCAGTAACCTATGGTGAGAAAGAATATGAAAACGAATAAATGTATGCTCCTATATGACTGAAGTATTGTGCTGTACACCAGAAATTGACACACTGTAAACTAACTATACTTCAATAAAAAAAAAGTTTTCCAGAGCCCAGAATGAGAGAATAGAACTTGAAATTGCTGATGAAATGTATTTATTCTGAGGGGCTGTTTTTGATAAACAAGAGACTATTTCCAGAGAGAAAGAGAACAAAGCATAGTCAATAAACATAGCTCAGATAGCTCAGACACACATTATTGCACGATGTATGTATTGGAGTTGGGGTGGGCAATTACAGGTTTATGGTCATTAATTAATGAATTAATTGAACAAGTAGATATTTCTTGGTTCTTGAATTTTCATCATATCTATAAAAAGTATTTCTCCAACACTTTGAAAAACTTATATTAAATCAACAACCAAAAAAATAGTCGTGGCAAAACACTGAAAGTATTTCCACTAAAAATCAGGAGACTGCTAACTCTATTATTATATAATGCTGTAAGTCCTTACCAATGCAGTGACACATGAAACAGAAACATGGCTTGTAAACAAATTATGACATGTCAACAAATGAAACACTGTATAGACACTGAAATGATGTTTCCAAAAATTTTGAAAGACATGAGAAATATTATTGTAAGTGAAAATGTAGGATGTAAAACACTGTGTCTATGGATCAACGTTAACATCATCAGTAACTGACAAATTGACATCATGTGCTTTCTGAGAACTTAACATCAATTATATGGTGTTTTTGTTAAAACAGTATAACTTGAACCTAATCATGAGGAAACACCAGACAGCTCCAAACTAAGGGACAACATACAAAATTAACTCGTCTTTATTCTTCAAAAATGTCAATGTTGTGAAACAGTAAGACTGAAAATTTAAAAGACATAATCAAATGCAAAACAAAAGTTTCCTGTTAAAACATATCAGTTATAGAAATAGTGACATTTCAAAGCAAATAAAACATCCATGTATCATAAATGTTAAAGCATTTGCTGCTATTAGTCTGTCTTCAGCATCCCAATTAATCAAAAAAAGAGATAACTGTAGCTCAGTGTGTATGTCTTGAAGTGTTTACGTGCAGATTTTGTACGAGGTCAGGTGGACACAAGTTGAATGTACCATACAATTACTAAGGGGCTCAATATAACAGTGGAACAGTTGGAACAGTGAATAAGCAAGCAATAATCAAGATTTGCCTATTATACTAGACCAAGAAATCTGTTTGCTCTTTAAACTTACTTTAAATCCATTCCCCTTCCTTTAATTTGGTGAGATCATAGAATTCTAACATTTCCTCTAATTTGGGGAGATCATAGAATTCTGAAGTTGGAAAACACCTTCAGGATAAACTAGTTGATCACCCTAGCCCTATCAGACTGAGATGAGAGAAAGTGACTTATCCTTACTGTTAGTTGATGGCAGAGATGGAGATGCAACTCAGATTTAAGGCTCTTAATACCAGGCTGCTGGTGTCACGGAAAAGGGCCCTTTCTTGCTGGTCTCTCATTTCTACAGAAATACCTAGCTCTTTGGAGTTCTTCCTTTCAACCGCTTTCGTGGGTGAAATTGACTTGCCTGCTCCACCTTCTGTGTATTACACTTTCTTCCACAATTTCTCACACACTTGAATTTTAAACCATAAAGATACTTCATTGATGGTCAACCCCTAAGAGAATATTATCTGGAGACAGCTTTCAAAATCATGCTTGCTATGCTCGAACAATTTCAACAAAAGAAATTTTAAAATACACAGTGTTGCTAGGGAAAATTAAAAGAAATAGTGAAAATATTTCTTAAAATTAAATCTTGATCTTAAAGGGTCCATTCCAGTTTATATTTCATTCTATATCCCTACAATCATTTATTAACAAAATGTTGAAATGAGTGTTAATAGACAGAATGCAACGACATACGTAGAGTGACCAGGAATTGTTCAGGAAGCTATAGGAGGAAACAAATATTACTACACAAGCAAAGAAGTGGTCGGATGCACTTCCCATCCTCGGGATGGTGGGTAGTCTCGAACTGTCCCCTGCAGAGGCCAGATGGTTCTTCCAAGGGACAGAGAGAGGGATTAAGCCCAGGAACCAAACAGAGCCAATTCTATGTGAGGGTCCCCGCCGGCCAGGCAGAGAGAGGAGGAGCCCCTGACTTGCCTGCTCCGCAGCCTCCCCGCCACCCCCCCGGAGCAGCCGGGCCCTCATACCTGTGAGATAGTTGGTCCACTTGTACAGAACCCCCTCCATGCTTCAGAGCCCGGCGCCGCGCATCCTCCCGGCCCGGCGCCGGCCGCGGTGATGAGGGAAGCGCGGAGCCTGGACAGCCCCTCCCGGCCCGCCC